CACTTTTCCCTTAAAGATATTTCAACTCGGGGAACCCAGAGCCAAACTGCTGCTTTTGAGTTCTCAGGAACACCTCTGGCGCACGAAAAAGACTTTTATTTTAGTCACCTTCCAAATAAAAAAAAAAAAGAAAAAAAAGAAAAAAAGCAGGCTGTGGTGTGAAACAGTATTTTAGATCATCAAATGTAAAGCAAATAAAGTTAAACCACCCCATGGATGGCAAAACCACAACCAAACACTTAGTTGTATTGTCTTTATCCGAGGAGACTTGGAGCTGTCCCTGATCCTGCAGGATTTACGAATATCTTTTGCTATTGGGTATTAACCACAGGAAGACAGCTAAGAGCACCCATTTCCAGAGAGCTTTTCAGCAAAGGAAAGCAAACAGGTTCTGACTGGAGCCTCAAAGTTGTGTTTTGAATTGCAGAGGGGAGGACGTGCACAGAAGAGCAAGCTCAGCTGCCTCCTTGGGCTTGGCTCGTTAAAGCTGAAGGTCAAAAAGAACCTGAAAGCACATACTCATAAGAAATTAATTCAGAAAGGCATAAATGATTCAAGAGAAAAACCTCTGCGAGCTGCAATTTCACTATGGAAATCCCTGCTCCTTCCTAAGCACCTGTAAAGTACCTTCCAAATGCAGAGGATGCTGTCCTACCAGCCATGGAAAAGCTGTGCCAGCCAGACCCTCTCCCATCAGAAAGGGGATGTCTGAGCAGAGTGGGTGAAATTCAGGCCCAGTATGGAAGAAAAAGGTAACTGGAAGGGTGAAGAATAAAAGCAAACAGTTCCAAAGGGAACGTAACTGCTGAGTAACAGAGGGGTTTCACCACAGGACTGGCTTCATTTCGAATGCTGAGAGCGTATTCCTCGGTCATCGCCCAGGCCCCCGCGGGGAAGGTGGGGAGTGACTGGCATACAGAAAACAGCATCTCTGGGCATAATTCACACTTAGCCCAAAGCTGTCAATTCCTAACGACGTTTTTTCCCCTCTCCCTGAAAAAAAAACTAACCTGGAGAAACACAACGAGCTTCCACGTAGAGTTCTCTGACGGGGGGGCATCGTGTGACATCGGGTACCAAAACCCAGCTCGGGCAGAAATAGGAACTTTTTTCTTTGCTCTGTTGCTGGCATCCAGCTCGAGAGACAAGAGGGGGGTCTGTCCCCCCCATCCTTTCCTGGGGTCTGTCCCCCCCATCCTTTCCTGGGGTCTGTCCCCCCCAGCCCTTCCCGGGGTCTCAGCAGCTTCAAGGAGACTCCTCTAGAAGGGAAACAGCCACATTCCTCCCCCAGTGATTCCCAGTTCTTCCCTGACACTAGTTCTCTATTAACTCTCTGATTCTTCATACAGAATCCAAGCATTCAGCTTTATTTACAAAAAAAAAAAAAAAAAAAAAAAAGGGTTATTGGGGAGTAAACGCCCCGGCACAAACAAGGGCTGTAACCACAGGATACCACCACCATTTATTCATCTCCCCAAACAATTTACCTTTTAGAAGCAAGATGCGTTTAAAAGTAAGACAGGCTTAATAAATTTCAGTGTTTATTGGGCTTTAGTGTTAAAATGCCCGGTTTTGAGGGCTCCTTTAGAGACCAAATCCCAATGCATTTGGCTAAAATGCAAGTTTTTCACCGAAGGATTAAAGATGCCCAAAGGTGCTCAACTTTGAAAGAGGCAAATCAGTGCAGCTGGAACAAAACATCCTCACAAATGGGGGTGATATACCCTAAAACAGAGCAGGGAAAAAAGCCAAGATTGCCCTTTCAGAACATTCTTTTAAGAAAAAAAATAAAAGAGGAGAGGAGGGATTTCTCAGGCTTCCTGATTTTCAGTCCCTCATTCTCTTCCAGGAGAAAAATTAATTTCATTTGTAGCATCTGACCTAAACTCCGCGGTAGATTGTTACCCCCACGCATTCTGCCCCAAAGTGTCTATGAAGCACTCTATTATTTAGAAAATAGCAGAAATAACAGCAAAAATCAGTAAGATACATTTCTCACACAGCATTTTAAGTTATATCAGGATTCCAAGAAAAGTAAGAGCTGTTTCCGGTATTGTTATTGTTGGTTTATGATCCTTTAGACAAAATAAGCAGAAGCTAAACACGACTTTAATATTATATATGGTACTTTTTTTTTTGCAACTAGAAAGATACACTATGTATAAATTGCTTTTAAAATGCTATTAACTAGCTGAGAATCTGAGGACACATTTACTCAAATCCCCTATTTATACAGTTTATTACACTAAGAACTGCTTCTATCCATTTCTTAATCAATCAGTTCTTCAATTCTGGTTCCTGTCAAGCTGCTTCTGAAGAGAAACTGCCATTAGAAAACACTGTTGTAGACAAATAACACTGAACTTTATTTTCCCCTTAAACTAAAGCTGCATGAAAAATGACAAATAAAATTACTTTTAATGGCTATCACTGTACTATTATCTCCTACTAATGAATTAATGGTGTGCAAGTACACCATAAATCAGTCAAAATCTGCATTTCTTTCTATCTTTTTATTTACAGACTGAAATCTTTGATGTTTTTCCACTTCAAATGATTTCTTTGCTTTTAATAACAGTTAATGAAGTGAACTAAACTGACTATAGATTAAAATATCTCTGTGTGTCCACAGAAGTGACCTCAATGTCTACCCACAACAGGGCAGAGGTAGTTCACGCTTTCAACAAACTAAGTTTTAAGGAGCTCAGGCAAAGGTTTCCCTGAAGTCAGTTGTCTGACTGCATGAAACCGTGCAGGAAAAACAGGTATACCTGTTCTTTTTGATTTAAATAATGTTAGGAGACGAAAAGAAGCCAGTACTTCAGAATTTGTTATCCACCAAGTCATCATTCAAGTGGTTTAGCCAGCACCCACGTGGGCAACCCCAAGTCACGTAGAGATCAAGAGGGGCTTTATCCTCCAGCCCCGCAAAACCCATCCCCAAGGAGCCCTATGTATAGGCAGGAGATGAGCTGGGTAAAAAAAGCACGTAAAAAGCCTGTAAAAAGCCTAAAAATGAAGACATATTAAAGGGTAAAGTTTATCCAAACACCAGGGACTGATTTTATAGCATATGGGAGTGAATTATTTCACTTGGAAATGTCTCCAGGGCTGGGGATTTAACATGGTGACACAGATGGGGGGGCTTTACTCATTTTTAAGTAATAGATGGAGGAGGACAGCTTTGTTTCGAGGGGGTGGTGTCCTCCCCCCGCATCCTGCCATCCTTCCTCGCTCCGAAACAGGCCACCATCTCATAAAAACTGCATTTGTGCGGAGAGCTCCCCAGCAGCGGTGCGTTCGTACGGCTGGGATTTTGGCAGGCTGGAAGGCTTTCTCCCTTTAACAAGCCCGGGTTTATATTCCCTCAATACAGGGCTTGGCTTTCCCTCCCAAATTAGCGGCGATGATTAGCGGCCATTAAAAGAATCAAACCAAACGCTGGTGAGGAAGCCGCGTTGCGATAATTAGTTGTGAAAGCGGAGTTAGGAGGGGGTTTCTGCAAGAGTTTCTGGTACTCCCTCCAGAAACTTGGCCAAGTCCTGCCTCGTACCTCCTCCAAGCCTAACTTCTCTTTGACTAGTGCTTTGTCCAGCTGAGAAGTGAACAACAGGCCACCCCCTCGGTGCCATCCTGATGGGAGTCACTCCACGGCATCGCTCGTTTCTGACAGCAGCCACCTGCAGAGGAGATTGGCACCTCACCTAGGAATTGGCAGGGAAATTAGCTGGTATCATTCCCTCAGATAACGTGGCAAATCAAGCCTTAGATCACCCTGGAGCCAGACACACTGATGACAGGAGAGGGAACTACTGCAGCACGAGCCCCACCTGGGAGCTGGTTAAACAGAGACGGGGGGGGAAAAAAGCCAGGTGGGAAGAGCAAAGGATAAATTTCTATTTTTCAGGGCCTGGCTGAAGTTAGGCAGGCTCCTTTTAAGGCAGAACAGAGGAAAACCTTCTATCTGAGGATCTGAAGGAAGGTGACAGAGTCACACATCAAACCTTTCCCTCTTCCCAGGGCAGGTATTTCACCTGGTATATATTCAGGGAGACGGATGCATAACAGTGATTTAGCAACTGAACATTTACACCTGGCAAAACAGAAGGGAAAACCAGGATTTTTGTGGTCTGCCTGCAGGACAAGACCGCCTGAGAGTTTATCTTCAAGATACAGCTGTCTTTTTTTTTTTTTTTTTTTTTTTTTTTTTTTTCTCCAATTCCTTCAAGGAATCCCTAATTTTTGCCAGTCACACAGCTCTGCTTCACCCACTTGTCCTCTCCTGCACTTTCTGCTGAGCCTCATGGCAGAGTATCGCATACAGGTCATTTTAAATTCAGAACGACTGTTTGGAAAAAAAATACAGGTTTTTTTTTTGAAACATCAGCTCAAAAGTATCCCCTGGAATTCTTTAAGCATCGCTACTGCTTTGCATCCTTATGTAGCTCCACAGTTACAGGGGGAGATCCCACTGAAGCCCTAAACACAGAGGCAGAAGCCAGCACAACGCACACATTGCCATAATTAAACATGTAAACCCGCCCATTAAAAGCCAACTCGGTGCTCTTCATAAAATCAGAGTGTGACAAAAAAAACCAGGACGACGCACACATTGCCATAGTTAAACATGTAAACCCGCCCATTAAAAGCCAACTCGGTGCTCTTCATAAATTCAGAGTGTGACAAAAATAACAGGAAAAAAAGTGGGAAAGCAGCAGTAGGAGTTGATATTACACGTTCTTAGAGCCAAGCAAGCAGTCAGACCCCACCTTCCCTGCAGTGCTAGCTCCAGCTCTCCCCCAGATCCCCACCGAAGTAGGGCTTCGGTTTTAACCCCCCAGCCCCGATTTCCCCGAGTTTGCCTTTCCTGTTCGTTCCCGGGGAAGGCTCAGCTCCTCTCCCTTCCCCGCCGGGAGCCTTCCCACTCGCTTCCAAGAGAAAAACGCCAACCATCTGCAAACTCTTCGGGCTGGACTTTTCTTTCCCCGGACACCGCCTACCTTGGCCACCCAACTGAACAATGGTGACATCCTCCGGGCTCCTCCGACGGCCGCCACCGCCGATCCCCGGCCTCCCGCCGCTCCTCTCCGCCGGGAGGGGAGCCAGCCCCCTCCCTAAATCTCCCCACGGTGGTCTCCGGGCACCGACCGAGCGGCGGGACCGGGGAACCGCTGCGGGGAAGGGGAGGGGAGGGAAGGGAAAGGAAGGGCCGGGCCCGCGTCCCGCCCCCGCCGCGCTCCGCCTCCGCCGGGAGCCCCGCACCGGGCTAAGGCCCCCGGGAAGGCGGGAAGGGAAGGGAAGGAAAGGGCTGGTTTTCGCCCCAAAAGGCAGGTCTGTTACCTCAGCGCCTTGCCTTTTGAGGGCATTCAGCGCAAACGGCTGGATTAGCAACTGTTTAAAAAAAAAAAAAACAAAACACCAAAACCAAACAATCCCGCACCGTCCTTGTAACTTTCCGGGAATGGGCCGGATGGAGAGGGCTTCACCATAAAGGATGGAGCACAAAATCACCTCTTTGAAACCACTGGGAATGTCACAATTCCAGTCAGGCTCACCGTTTGTCTCAGCTAACAGCATTTGACGTCATTTTTAAACAAAAAAGGTTATTAAGCCTTGGATCAGGCTGCCCAGGGGAGTGGTGGAGTCCCCATCCCTGAAGGGATTTAAAAGCCGGGCAGACGTGGTGCTGAGGGACATGGGTTAGTGATGGGTTTGTCAGTGTTGGGTTGATGGTTGGACTTGATGACCTGAAATGTCCCTTCCAACCTGGACAATTCTATGACTCTATGATCACTCTGCTCCCAGAAATAAGCTGTTAAAGAAGAGAATGAAAAAAAAAAAACCCAGTACGGTAGAAGTCACGAGGATGTGTGTTTCTGGCAGATGGAGGGATGGTACCCGTCACCCAATAAGCTGTTAAAGAAGAGAATGAAAAAAAACCCAGTACGGTAGAAGTCATGAGGATGTGTGTTTCTGGCAGAAGGAGGGATGGTACCCGTCACCCAGACACTGACAGAGGGGAGATGGAGCTGAGATGTGGGGAAG